GGGAGAAGGGGCAATGCACCGACCAGCATTCCAAGAGTGGCAAAGGACCCTTGAGGTCAAACTACCTTGGGCCTCCCTCCCCCCTGCTGTAGTTGAAGCAACCACTCCAGGGCGCACCTGGGCACCTGCAGTGTTAAAACTGTAAAGTTGGACATTCATTGTTGACCACGTTGTGCATTTCTCAGCAGCAGCATATTCTCGAAACTCCCGATCATAGTTCAGCCATGCACTGCCACTAAACTGTCGGTATGTGCGCAAGATAAGGAGCTTGTACTTGAGCAAATCATCTTTGCGGTTGGGAAAATATTTTCCGACGATTAAAGAATAAATGGTGAAAGCTTCCACCCAAGATGTAATATCTGAAATTTGCTTTTTGTTTTTCTTGGCGGTGTTACAAAGGATGAGGCGGCCATCGAAGTGCAGTTGTGGCTCTGGTTCTTGAGAGGAGATGTTTTCCGGCAGCAAGTCCTCAAGATGAACAAATTTCCGGCAAGAATTTGGGCCACCACTTTGTAGGGAACGGGAGAATAACCAGGACCCACTACAAACGGCTGGTTAAGGGGGGGCGTGTTCCCCAGGAAATTTTCCGGCGCCGAAAATGACGAAGACGACGTCGCGGCACTTGAGACAGTTACGGGCCGAGGGAGAGTAAAAGGCGATACAAATGAAGGTACAGATAAGGCAGACGTACCTGAGCAAGATGGCGGAGGCAAATAAGCCGAAGACGCAGTTGATGAAGAAGGAGGCGACCCGGCCATGGATGTCCACGGCATAGATGAGCCAGTCTGGGCCAATTGGTTAGTACGGTTGGCCAGAGGCGTCGAAGAACCCTWGTTGTTCTCGGGCAAAGATCCAGAACCCGCCGATGACGAGGCAACGCCTGCCGCTAGTAAAGCCGAGTTGACCATGGCCGCCAAAGGTGCTTTTAAAGCTTCTACTACTGATGTAACCAACTCAGTAGACGGCGCAGTAGATGTAGGGACGCCATTACAAGCCGACTCAACCGAAACTGGAGGAGCCAGCGAAGAAGAACAAGAGGTAGGAACCATGCTGTCCAAGCTATTGCGTGTGTTAYGGGGCATTTTTTTATCGACCAAACAATTAACACGAGGACAAGGAACAATGGAAAGACGATCRTAAATAGACGTCGAAACGCTGGAAGAACCACTAACAATAAGGATTGAGAAAGGATGGCTTGAAAAAAGGCGTATAAACCAGAAGCAAAACCGCRATATGAAGGCAATGGCTAACAGCAACTCAGCTACAGCAACCACGAGGCCTTAGGCAGCAACTGCRCATGCGCAAGTCTCACACCGCTGGCCAGCACTCCACTCCCAGTTAACTTTGCTTAAATTTAACCACATTTAATTATTCACTTTCCTGTGAAAATAAAAGGAAATTGCCTTGTAATCCTTGTAGTACTCATTAAGATAGATACTCAGTATTGTATATGGTACAAAATCCACCCGTCTGGAATTACTACTAAATACTACTCCAACAGCAATTGGTCTGCTATTATCTGAGTGACAACCATGATTTGTGGACATTCCAAAAGTTCTTAGTTTGTTTTGGATAATCTTGTTTGGTTTTTGTTTTTTGGATAGGCTACAAATAAAAATGGGAGGATCCAAAAATAATTGCTTCAAGCAGTGAGCTAGTCAATGCTCAAAAATTTGTTTGCACTTTTATGATTTCTTTCTCATCCATACAATGTCCATAGCTTCGGTCATTCTCAAAGCAGATCAGCAATGAAGGGTGGGGGGGGGGGGGGGGGGGGGGGGGTAGGGTGCCATAAGGTACATCTTTAACTGTTTCATCCCAACCATTCTTTGTGTGTTCTTTCAGATTTGCCAGTGAAATAGCAGGAGTGGATGAGTTAGGTACAACAGGACGTGGTAGTGATATGCAAGTTGGGACATATATTGAGAAGATGTTCAAGTCAGAGCTATCAGGAAATGTTATAGGTAAATATGCTGAATGTTGTGGTCACATATTTTTTCTACAGAGAGTAACAATTTCAAATTAGTATAATTTTAGACTATACAATTGTTGAGTTTTGTGTACTTTAAATGGTTGAGCAGCCAGTGAGTCTGAGACGATATTATCACTGCTGGAGCGGTGATTATGAGGTTTCTCAAAGTTTGCCAGAGCGGAAGTATTACTAAAACATTTTTTTAATCCAGAATTTCATCTTTTCTCAAGTCTAAAATCATACTAAACAATCATTCACCTCAAGCTCAGTGATTATTGTGAATAATTACCTCCCCACTCAAAGACTTGTGTCTCCTTAAATATTCACCTAATAGTCAGTTTCGGCAAATAATAATTATTGTTAAATAACTGAAGAGAAGATTAGTTATATAGTACTAGTAGTTTTATTAATATCAGCCATTTGATTGTTGTGTGTTTGCATGCATTATCTTGTTGTTAGCCATCTATAATTTCTCGCAAAGAATTTTCACTTAATTGAATTGCCACTTCCAGATCTTTGTCCAGTTGGCGCTTTAACATCAAAGCCATATGCATTTGTTGCAAGGCCATGGGAGTTAAGGTAGGTTGTTAATATTATTACTCTATTCTCAGCAGAGCCAGTTGGTGAATGACACTGCTATTTTTTCTACAGGAAAACAGATTCTATAGATGTCTTGGATGCTGTAGGTAGCAACATAGTTGTGAACCATAGGTCTGGTGAGGTCATGAGAATCCTACCAAGGCTAAATGAGGTATTTATCAGAGGTGTACTTACATGTACAGTATGTTACTGTGTTATGTACCAAGGTTTTTGGGCTTATTCTGGTGTTTATATTTTGTTAAATTTTCACTTCAGGATGTAAATGAAGAATGGATATCTGACAAAACAAGGTTAGTATTATATTCCAAGTTCATTCTTTCTTTCTCATGATTATGATTTGTTTATGTTCTTTCTTTGTAATATTTTGCGTACTTTTAATTCCTTTTTATATCTCAGATTTGCATATGATGGACTAAAACGCCAGCGTCTGACCACACCCATGATCAAAGATGAACTTGGTAACCTGGTACCCTGTTCATGGGAAGATGCATTGGTTTCTGTGGCCCAGAAAATGAACTCATTAAAGGGAGAAGAGATGGCAGCAGTAGCTGGTGGTATGATTGATGCAGAGGCACTAGTTGCACTTAAAGATCTTTTTAATAGGTTTAACAGTGAGGGGCTCTATACTGAAGAAGGTTTTCCTACAACAGGGTCAAGGTGTGTACTTGATAACCGTCAAATATGCTACTTGTGTTACATAAATGATGATCAGGGTTTTAAAGAATGGCCAGCATGTGGCTTGTCATGATGACCAGCAGATTAGTTTTAGTTTGGTCATATAACATTTCTGGCTAAACATTACTGGTTAAAATGACTGGCAAAGGTTTGACCAGACAAGTTCCAATTCTGGGTGGACATTGTCCAATGTCTGGCCATTATATTAAGCCCTGATGATGTTATGCACATTAAAAAGGGTTTGTCTAAACAAATTGGGGCAAATACTTAAATAACAATCCATACTTCCTCATCATAGACAGATCTACAATGTACAGGCATACACTTTTGCACCACCACCAGAACAATCCTTACTTATTATTAGTTAATATGCTAATTATTCCCATAAAGGATACCAAGAACCCTTGTCCTTCGCACAATTCCACACATATTGTTGTAGAGTTTGTTAGTTTATTTAGTTAATTTAAGAGTGTTTCTGGGTAAAAACCTCACAACAATACATAATCTTCCTGATTACAAATGTGATTACGTTTTATATTCCTATTGTACAGCACTGATTTGAGATCAAACTACATCATGAATGCAACTATAGCAGGCATTGAGGTAAGAGTCTTTAGACTTCATTTTGTAATGATAACTACTTCTACTTTAGACTTCATTTTGTAATGATAATGGTGATCTTACTACAGGATGCCGATGTCTTGCTTATCGTTGGTTCTAATCCAAGATATGAGGCCCCACTTATCAATGCCCGTATCCGCAAAAGGTTGGTTTTCTCTCATTTTAGTAATACATGTACCTCCAAATATCTCCAGTTAGTCACAGTTCTCCAGGTTGATCTTTATCACTTAAAGTGCCTATCACCCTTCTGACAATATTCACAGTATTGATTCTACATGGRGTAAGATGTCGAATAACCTGAAAAAAATTCATAGTTTGAGTGCAGCTTCTTGAAGTTATGAAGGTTTTTCCATGCCATATGCTAATGCGGTGGCTGTTGACTTTAATATAATTTTCTGTGACATATCTAATTCCTTGTTGTTTTTTATCTTTTCGTTAGCTGGATGCACAATGATCTCCATGTAGGTCTTGTTGGAGCAAAGGTGGACTTGACCTATGATTATGATGTATGTACTAAACATGTTRTGCAATGAACTGCCAAACAGGATTCATTGATTAGAGTGCATACCATATATGTGTAAAACAACTTCTAGTCATGTAGCGCTTATAGCAAACTTGAACAATGCTATTCACCCGGTACTTCATACAAGTTATCAACTTTTTACAGTATTTGTAAAATGACTAAGAATTCACTCATGAACCAAACGAAGACTCATAGAGGTATTTGCTGTTGTTCCCAATGTCATCCTCCAGTAATATCCACTATTTTGTACAAAATACAGTAGTAACAAAATAGCTTCAATGAGACAATTCTACATCTTTGGTTTTGTTTCATGGATATAATTTATGACATGCACTCACTATGAGAATGAAAGGTTTATTGGTTTTGGAGAATAGAAAAAATACACGAAAAAGTCTTTTAGATCTATCAGTAACAGTGTTATTTGTAAGAGATTGGACTTTGTTAGGGACTTCAGGTTCTATTGTTAAATCTCCTTGGAACTGACGTATGTTAGTTCCTATAGTGCTTATAAATACAAAAATAGAATAAAATGTGACCCTCAGGCCATGCATTGCATTTTAACACAAAGTTAATAATCTGTGTGACTGTGTGTCAAATAATGTTATTACAAGTATTTATTATTTCATAGCATATGATCTTATACTATATCTTATACTACACTAACGCTCTTTTCTCATTGGTGGATAGCATATTGGTGAAACAGCTGACGTCTTACAGAACATCATGTCAGGAAAACACCCATTCTCTAAGACCCTAGTCAATAGCAAGAAACCAATTATTTTAGTGGGTAATGACTGTCTGCAGGAAGCTGATGGTGATGCAATCCTTGGCCTCGTCACTGAGATGTCTCAGAAACTTAAGGGTCRCCAGGGAGTGGACCCTGAGTGGCGGGTGTTAAATGTTATGCACAGAGTAAGTGTATATTGTTGGGTATACTTTAAGAATGACTGATAAATACATGTACACTGTGTGCAATCACTTTGTTCTAAGCTTCTTTACACACTTCTACTGAATCTATTGAGCTAAAATGATGAGAGATACAGTGTTTGGGGGAGATTCATACACTTTATATCTGTGTAGCGTAGGGTTTGTTGAGTGTTCTTGTATTCTCTTTGACTATCAGGTTGCTAGTCAAGTAGCAGCTCTTGACATTGGTTACAAACCTGGTACTAGAAATATGACAGAAAAGCCCAAACTTCTCTTCCTTCTTGGTTCTGTAAGTACACTGGCTACTCTAATAGTCCTCTTCATTATTGAAAAGGTTGTGTTTTTGCTCACTTCTTTTGTTCTTATTTACATCTATTAGGATGAGGGCACAATTAAGCATGAGGACTTACCCAAAGATTGTTTTGTGGTGTACCAGGGTATGTGATAACATTATAGTTCTGTTAATTTCCTCCCTTTCCTTCTCTTATCCTTTCCTTTCCTTTCCTTTTTTTCCCTTCCCTTCCCTTCCCTTCCCTTCCTTTCTAATTAAAGAGACATTATTTCACTGGCCATAGGTCTCAAAATTCTTTTCCAACTTCATTACATGCTGCATAATAAACTGTGTGGTAATGATTAATTCCATAAGGTCACCATGGTGACAGTGGTGCTCACATGGCTGATGTTATCCTACCTGGAGCTGCGTATACAGAGAAGACAGCAACATACGTTAACACAGAGGGGCGTGCCCAACAAACCAGGTACTCGAACATTTTATCCTAGCGCACTCATACATAGAGTTAACCACACTCTTTTTCCATGACGTTTCATGTTTTTCTCCAGGTTAACAAGCTTCCATTGAAATTTAATCTTTTTCTCAACTTCAAATGATGTAATGGGCCTTGTATTTGGGATTTCTATCTTTCTTTTAAATAATTGTCATTTATTTTGATATGAATAAAAGAATTGAAAGATAATATTTAGATCAAATAACTAACCATGTTGTTGTCGCTTCTACTCTCCAGACGTGCTGTAACCCCTCCCACTAATGCGAGAGATGACTGGAAGGTTATTAGAGCACTATCTGAGGTAAGTCATTTGTCCCAGATACTATCAATGCAGAAACCTCCTTGTCTATGAATGGTGTTTTGTGTATGAGGCTATTAAGGGTGGTGTGGGGGGTAATATGGTAGCCTCTTGCCTCATCTGGATCGATCTCAGGTTCAATTCCTGGACTCTGATTCACATGTAAGCAGAATTTGTTGGGTCTCTACCTTGATTCGAGGGTTTTTCTCCGGGTTCTTCAGTTGTTCTACTAAACCCAACACCTTAGATTCCAATTCTATCTGTGAGATTTGATCAGCGCAAAGTCTGTTTAATGGTTCGATAAATTCAATGGTCGTAATGATAGTAATAACCYTGATACTGATTGCCGATTGTTGTTCTAGATTGCAGGCCAACCGTTACCATATGACACCCTTGAAGAAATCAGGAGAAGAATGACTGAGGTGTCACCTAACTTAACTCGTTACGGCGATGCAGAGAAAGCTAACTTCTTTAGTCTTGCACAAGCTTTAATACAGGTTAGTATCACACTTATTCTTACGAAACGTTTGTCTGGGGGTTAATTTAATGAATTGAAGGTCAAAAGAATGACATTAGAAATTGGTTGTGTGTGTTTTTCACAATTATTTAAAACATTTCGCATCGAATTTCTTGGCTTTTAACAACCCTATTTAACACGTTTGTTACCACTGTTTGTTATGATATTACCACTGTTTGTTATGATATTACCACTGTTTGTTATGATATTACCACTGTTTGTTATGATATTACCACTGTT